GACCTAACGCGTTGATCACTGCGAAAATCTGAGCCGTGTCCTGGCTGCGACGGCACGGCGGACGTCAAGGCCAACTGCTTTAAAGTGTCATCCAAACTTCGGGACTTTGACTTCGGACTGCGAGCCTCCATGTGGTTCCTGCCGCTGCCCACAAGGCCCTGACGTCGCCTGCGGTCTCTGAGGTACCTGAGCTCGGAATCCGTGAAGCTAGATGCCCCGAGAAGCTTGCAACCCTTGTCCAAAACAGGAGGAGCACTGCAACAACCAAGCACCACGTGGCTTAGCGAAACGTGCTGCGAGATTAGCCCAAGTGGCAACAGCCACTGCTGGAAAACTGGCTTCATCGTCCAACGGCCAAGCCTGACATGGCACAACCCGCCAGCTGCAAGGCGACAATGATCATAGGCCCCCCGATCCCCTGCCTGTACAGACCCTGCCGAACTTCTGTGTTGCGGCTCCGTGCAGCTGCCCAGCTGGCCTCAGCGAATTGTGCCAGCAGAGCACAAGCCCTCCACGAAAGGGCAGTGGCTTGGCGCAGGGCAAGGGTGCTGCGCATGATTTGATGAGGCCGCTTTTCTCCAACTCGCAGGAGGAAGGACCTGACATTGCCGGCCAGAAACTCCCAGGCATGCAAAGTTCATGCACGGCTGTCGCAGGGCACTCTACCCGGTATCCGAGGCTGATGCCAAAGACGCAGCATGCGAGACATGCGAAGTTCGCCCACCCTTGTCGAAGCCTGCCATGCGTCTTCCGTACTTACTAGTCGCACATACTCTTTGCAGCAGCTGGATTGTGCAGGTCTCATGGTGCAGCTGGTCCACACCCCTGATCAGTGACTATGGACTTCCCCAAAGCAGCCTTCTCCGCGCAGGCGTACAGCCCCATCCTGACAGCCGGTAAATGGAGAGCAGCACAACCATTGCTGTGACCGCTCGAAAGCTGAACATGTTCTCTTCAGTTATCCGAAGCCTATCCAAGCCCATGTGAGCCATGCCTACCATGTCACCGGCAGTTTTGGAGGCACGGGTTTAGGGGCCGCGGACGTGGAACTCCAGGTCTGGAGGCCCTGAAGCCCGCAACCCGAGTGCCGCACAGCGCCGACCAGCCCCTGAAGGCTCTGCGGACCTCCGCACCCCCCGTGCCCCCGGACATCCCAAGCTCGTCACATCAGCGAGGGCTCCTGGGGGGGGTCCAACGCCTGGGGTAAGAGTCTATCTGCAGAAATCCATCCTAGCCACCTATAGTAGAAGATAGTAGAAGTCATGCCCGTAAGGCAAAGTAACGGGAATCCTAGCAGTCCTAGCACTGATCCTCCTAAACCCATGTTCCAACTTTCTGGGATTTGTTGTAACTTCCGGCAGGATCGCTGAGATTCTGGCCAGCTGCCGACAAAGGACTTGACCATCCCACTTCTCTGCCACATCCACTAGGCGGTTCAAACCTTGGTGCAGACTCGTCAGCTGCCAGAACAGAGAACTTTCCGTAAGCGACACTTGCTACTAAGCTGAGCCAGTGAGATGGCATGGGCTTTGTGCGCTTTTCAAGCACACCATGACTCCTGACTCTTGACGATGTTAAGGTAAACAAGGAAATCCATGTAAATCCCCTCAAACCAAACAAACTCGCGGTTGCTGAGGCAAGGGCGGCAGACCGAACACCAACGCTCCACCCACCACCGTTGCCTTAGCTCTTTCCTTCTCCCGGGTTTAGGGTTTTTTTCTCTCTGGCATGGCAGAGAACTATGCTCAGGGTTTCGGCTCTCACACTCGGACAATCCAGGCGAGGCGAATGATGAGTCAACGTCAAAGTGAAACAACTGCACATGCAAGCTCAACAACACGACGAGCCCTTAAGATAAGGAACCTGTAAGAGACTTCCAAATCGCATGTGCCAACTAAAGTCCACGTCATCACTTATGCTCAGGGTTTAGGGTATAGGGTTTAGGGCTTAGGGTTTAGCCCGAGGCCCCGAGTCCTGATCGCAACACTACAGCGATGCCTCGGCCTCGACGGTGCCAGAGCTGAGATTCTGACCGCGACTGACGGACGAATGTCGCTTTCACTTCATCCGCTTCCCTGCGCAAGCCATCGGCCAACAATCAGATGCAATTATCACGTCGGCCATATCTTGCCATCCGTGAGTCTGCAGCGCAGCGTTCCGACAACTCAGCGGCCTCTTCCGCGCATGCGAGAAGGCCCAGAGCCGCCAGGCCCGGATCCAACGCAGCGCCCGGGAGAGAAGCACAGCCTCCCAAGGAAAGCAGCTACTGCTGGCAGCTCTTCGCTGTCTGGGGCTTTTGGGATCGACTTGAAGATACGACTTTTCCTTTGGCGGGTCTGCATCGGTTCCCCCACCCAACTCCCCTTGCGGAGAGAGCTCTGTGCCTCCGCCACGCCCTGCCCGGCTAGGCGCCGCAGAAGGAGCAGCCGCCAAGAAGACAGCAAACGCGCCCTCCTACTAGCTCAAAGCACTTACAAATCCTTACGCTTGTAACTTGTGGACCCACTGCACTACTTAACTACTTTCTATGGCTGCTCCGAAGGGGTCCTCTGCCACAACAGCCGGATTGCCGAGACCTGGCTCCGTCGGCGCCGCACCACGCAGCCGTGCCAAGCCATTGCCACGGTCTGCGCCCAGAGTGTGGCACGAGATGCAGTCCAAAGATGGACGGACTGTATGACCAGGGAGAGCTGCCTCAAGCGACGTTGCCACAAATGCAGGACTTTCCGCTTGGTGCGTGTATGACGGTAGCGCTCGCAGAGCAGATGCACCCCACGCTTGTGGCGCTGCTCCACGGAGCTTTGCCGCCAGGCGCGGAGGCATAGCAGCAGCAACTCTTCGGTGTCTGCGGCTCTGCACTCCCCGACGTGGCACCACCATTGCTGCCAAGCCGACCACTCGCTGCGCAGCGCATGCGCTTCAAAAACATCCGCGACAGACTCGAGAAGGACTGGAACCAAAGTCCGGAACTCGCGGCCTCTCTGAACGGCTGCACACCAGCATCCGAAGCCAGCTCGTAAAAGCAAGCTCAGGCGGCGTGTCATGCCTCGGGCAACACGCAGTGTGGCCAGTTCCAGCGCTTCCTGCACGACCTGCCAGGATCTGCCAGGAGATGCCGGGAGATCCGGGAAATGCCGGGAGCACAAGTGGCCACTACGACATGTAAACCGGCTGACCATGACAACCTACCTGGAGCCAAGCCCTCCAGCTTCGACCAATCAGCCCCGTCGTTTGCTGATGTCGGCGATACCTAGGCTAGTCAAACGGCTCATCCCGAAGTTCCCAGATCTGCTTCGCAAGGGAGATTCGCGTGCATCCGCGCTAGACTGATATGCTGCCAGGTCACCGGACAGCATCGAACAGATGGATCCAGCGGCCCAGGCTGTAATACCAGAGCCTGGCGAATGTCAAGTGCTTGGCACACACCCAATAATTGCTGCAGCATGAACCTGCAGCTGACGCAGTTCCGCTTCATATCTTAACAGGCGGATGACTTCTACAATGCCAACAACAACCAGAACAGCAGTCGAAAGGAGCGGTCTCATGCACTTTTCTGCTGCAGGCTACGAGGGACTGATCACCTCCCGTGATGTGACAGCCCTGCAGCCAGGTGCTGCTGAGGGCGAACTTTCCTTACAAGTCGAAGGGACAGATTCCTGCAACCTGCCGCCACATGAACCCATTCGGCACCTGGGTGGTCCGCGAGTAGAGACTAAATGGATGAAGCGTCCAGGTGTCAAGATCAGACGAATGCTCGAGCTCGTCCTGGGATCCAGATCGCGGTCCTGTCGGGCTGCGGTCTCCTTTGGGTGACATTGCCCACCACGCCCCCTGCGTCGGTATGCTCGGTTGCACATCAGAACCGGCACGCAATGCTTGCCAGGCTTCGTTCGGAGAGGAAGTGCGAAAACCGCAAGCGTTGCCGTTGCTCGTGCTGCACACGCCATTCCATCAATTCCAGCTCTTCTAACTCCATACTGAGAACTCACAGGTCGTCATCGTCGTCACTCGGGACTGGGACATCTTCCGCTCGCAGCTCCTTGACTTCTGCAACGTTCTCGACAGCGGTTTGGAACAGAAGCGAAGCCTGAGCCTTGTCTGCAACTCCAGTTATTTGCCCCCTCTGACTTTTATCTCGTTGCTCTTGGAGCACAGCAAGGACCGACAGCCAAGGCTGACTAGTCGATATCGCTCGCATGCTTTTGGCGACGCCCTGCCCGACCATCACACGCATCTTACCGATCGTCATGCCCAGACCGAAGCTGGCATCCAACAGCTCCTGCTTCAAGTCGGGTGGACACGTCGTGAACTCCCCTCCTGGCAATGCAAATGCCTACTTGGCTCCAGCTCATCCTACAAGGCTTGCAGAATACATGCTTCAAAGATGGTGGCCAGCCAGATAGGGAGAAGACTGGGAGAAGCATACATGGGAGCATTTGGCTCTCTGTCTGGGCATATCCGTGTTTTGCGTACCTACATCGCGGCAAATGGGGCTCTTTGCAGAATGCAATACACCTGCTGTCTATACTAATATGCAAATTGTAATGATGCTTTTTCGATGTGGTTCGTATGATACAGTACGAAAAACTCGTCGAAAGTGCAATGTGCAACTCTCCTGGCTTACTTGGGCGATACAAGATCACGGGAAGCATTGCGTCCTGCTTCTCCGACGAAGTGCTCGATGAGCAGCCACCTGTCCTCTGCAGATGCTGGAGAGCCGATCCTCGGCAGCTTAGGGTTTGGAAGCATTTGGGGGTTTCCAAAAATAGGGGACCCGAATATGGTACCCTGAATAATAGGTTCCTTATTATAAGGACCCCAAAATAAGGTACCCTAATTCTCGGAAAGTCCCAATTTCGGGTTGGGCTGCCAGGCCCTGAGTTCCCTAACAGCAAGAAGATGCCGCTCAAGCGTCCGCAACCACCGGTCCATTCGTCCGGGCCGCGTCACCCGAGGGTCCTGAGCTTGATTCGCGAAGCAAGCTGGCGAAATCTACGAACTTCCATCGCGGCTTTAAGCTTAGTCGCTGATTATGTATACTCATTTCATGAAGTTTGATGGAAACCCTTGCTGCAGAGGCTCCAGATCGTCAGCTGGAGTTCGGGAGGTGGCGACGACAGAAAGTCCCGGGGCGTCTGTCCTCAGAGTCAGAAGTTGCAACCTCTCACCGGTACTCCATATGGCAACACGGCTCTTGTCTGCAGCCGGTCGGCGCGGACACGGGGGAGTCGATTCCATCTAGAAGTGTGAGGAAAGTGGCGGCCATCCTGTTGTGGAAGCTGCTGTCTTCTGCCGGAGGCCGTACAAAATCGTCCAAGCCCTCGATCAACAACAGAGATCCTGGCTGGGACCCTTGGCTGGCAGCCGCAAACGCCAGCCTCAAGCGCTCCTCACTTTCACCCAAGTACCGGGAAAGAACATCTGAAGGACGAAGCCACGAGACTCGAACACCCAGGACCTCTACCTGCGAAGACAACCATCGCAGTAAGTGGCTTTTCCCACTTCCCGGCGGCCCGTGCAATAGGGTCCTGGGCGGCCAGGCTATACCCATGCTGTGGAAAACCTCCAAACTGCGGAAGTACTGCACCACTGTCGTCTCGAGCTCGCGGAGAACATCGTCGAACCCAACTATGGTGACACTGGTGGCGTTGGCGGAGCTCGGGAAAGCCCTTCCATGCCCTAGCTTTGCCTGGAAGCCGAGGTTTGGGAGCGAGCCAGAGTGCCCAGAGTCAATTTCCAGGAAATAATCCCTGAACAGCGGGTGGACATCTGCTTTCGAGGAGCAGACGCCAAGGACGACAGCAGTCGACCTCAAAGCTCTGAGTGGCCAAAGGTTCGACTGGAAGTCGGCCAACTGCTGTCCCTGTATAGGAAGAGGGCCATCCAAGCAACCCAGGAAGACCACCTGCTGTCCACACCGTCCCGAGACCAGGGCTTCTCCCTCCACGCGTTGCCGCCAACCCGGTAGTAGGTTCGCAAGGAAGTTCAAGAGGTACTTGCCGAAAGACACTGCGGAGCCCCCATTCTGAACTAGCTCCCAGCACATGTCAACAATAGGCAAATGAATGATTCCACAGCCTCCCTTGCTTGCCCATCGCCCGTCCAGCATTTGCAAAAATGCCTGAAGCCTGCAGGCGGGAGGGCCGCCTTCGAACAACACGGGGTATGACAGCGCGAGCGAAGAGCTGCCTGTGTTCAGGGAGATCGCGGCCAAACTCTTCTCCACAGCCTCCTCTCCCCGCCTTGTCTCCTCTTCAGAACCGTCGGTTTGGCATGATAGCAGGTGTTGGTGTAGCTTCAGGTCCAAGGCGGTGCGCGGTGAATCTGAGGGCTGCCCGGAGACCTTACGAATCTGGAAAGCACAAACGTAGCCCAGCAGTCGAACTGCCAACGTCATTCCTTCCAAATCACACGGTGAACGAGAAAGCTGCCGACAGATGGCATCCTTCAGGCTACTCATGCCCAGAATGATGAAAGGCACCATGGGGCCCTCAGCTCCAGCTACATACGGACCATAGAGCTCCACGGCAACATTCCGACTGGGGAAGCACTGCCGAACCTCTGCACAGGAGTCCTCGCTGAGATGGAAGATCATGGCTGGCCAGAGTGGGATTTGAAGGCAGCCAGGCGTGACGGCAGCATCCGGTACCACCCAGAAAGAGGTCTGCAAATCCCCCAACTTCACAGAAACCTGCGAGCAACTGCCAGGTCGTTCGGATTCGGAGAGGCTGACCAGCGTGTGAGGATGAACCCTTGCTGTGTCCAGTGATGCCCATGAATCACGGGACAGCTGCGTTCGCAACTGCATGTCTGTGAAGGCGCCCTAGAAGTTCTCATGTGCCAAGCCAACCATGCAACATGTTGGCGCGAGCCATCAACTTACGCCATGAACTTCCTACACAGCTAGAGACATTGGGCAAACTTGAGCCTCACCTGGTCAGGCGCGCGGAAATCGCGGAGAAGCGACAACTGACCAACATTAGCTCAACACGATCCGGACCCTACGAGTCCCGAAAGCCACGCTAACGCTGCCTTCTCCGCCGAACTGCTTGCACGGCCTGTGCCAACGGAGCGAGGGATAAAATGAAGAACGGAATGCCCCAAAATGCCGCAGTCACGATGGCTGGCATTCTTCACCATTTCAACCCTGGCTCTTCATGCCATGCCGTGGAACATAGCCCACAACTCCATCCAGAAATATCTTAGTTTCTTGATGCCCGCATTGCAACGGAACAGACGAAACCCTAAACCCACCTCCTCGGCCACCGAAAGCCGCTCCTCTTTGAGACGCTGGAAGTGGAAGCCCCGGAGCCGAGACAGGGCTCCTCGGTTTCTGGGTTCTTGTGAAGGAATTTAAATTAAGTTACCATAATAGGGATCTACTGTAGATAGCACGGCTTCTGTATTCTGGTCACTTCAAGTACATCCCTTGCCTTAAAACGAACCGAGGTTTTGGGCTCCCCTGTAGCCCCTGTCTCCCTCATCCCTCAGAAGCAGGCCAGAGTAAGTGCAGGTCTACACGGTTTTCGGAGACTTGGTGTTTTGGTTTGCTTTCCGAGTTCGTTTTCGAGGCTTCCTGGTTGGCTGGTTTTGCCGGTTGGTTTTCAGAGACACATTCTCCCCACAGCTGACCGGGCACCTTGAGCGACTTGCCCCCCAACCCGCAACCCTCGCAACAGCTTCCCTCTGGCCGCCTGCTTGTCGCATCTTGCCGATTCCACGCGCAAGGATTTCGATTGCCGCCCGTGCCTGCAGGAGAAGTGTGTAGTATCTGTATGTCTATCCATCTACCGACCTTCCTATCCATCCATCCATCCATCCATCCATCCATCCATCCATCCATCCATCCATCCATCCATCCATCCATCCATCCTATCTATCCATCTATCTATCAATCTATCATTTCTATCTATTTATCTATCTGTCCATCTGTACTTCTATCTACTTCTATCTACTTCTATCTGACTATCTATCTATCTATACACCCTACCCATCTATATACACACAAACTCATATAATCATCATGTGTATATATATATATATATGTATATGTGTGTGTGTACATATATACACATATGCAGACAGATGTTGAACCGTCTCCACAGCTTCTCGGCACCGATATGCCCCTGCAAACAAAGCAATGCCAATCACCGGCCAGCCCCCCTTGCTTATCCGACTCATTTTAGATGCGCAGCAAAGACAAAAAAAACGCAAAGTTGCACCGGCGAGCCTGAACCAAGAACGCGAGAGACTGCATACACCCATGGCTGCTACCAGAATCACTCGATTGTCCCACCACCAATCTCAGCACAAAGCTGCCCAGGCCTCTCTAAGCTGCCGCGCTGACAGCTTCCAGGAAGCAAGCAACAAAGAAATGAAGTCGCTGCGAAGGCCATCGTGCAAGCCTGCACGGCTTGCACTGCACTTATCTGTGGAGCAGTCAGGCACGGGCATTTGCACTGGCACTCATGGTCCAGCTGGAAAAAAACTGCGCTGACAAAATGTACCGGGCACAGGTAGATCTCACTCTCGATGCTGCCGTTGAGTTGCAGGCGGCAGGTGCGCTTGCCAAGCAAGGTTTGCCATGGGTGGGGAAGACATTTCTGCCGACTTGTCAATTTCGAGACTGCCCTACGACCCTACGAACCAGATCTCTAGTCTCCAGGCCGTCCCTTGCGTCTTTGTCTGAAGTTCTAACTCAGAACCCTCATCTGCGATCTTCACCCCAAGACCTTACGAAGCCCTCCCTTGTTCGTCAGGGTTGCAGCACGGTTCCCTGGGCACCTCGAAGCTTCGACGTGGCCTCGCGACCGGCGCGGTGCCGGTCCCTCCATGCACGCAGGGCGGCTGCCTGGAGGAACCTGGGCCGGGAGCCACGAAGACCTTTAGCCGCCTAGAGCCCTAAGGTTTTGGATGACCCGTGTATTGAAGTGTTGTACACTTGATTTGCCCATGTCCCCGGATGAGCTGGAAGTATGAGACATGCCCTTCTGCACTGGTAAAAGCGCAACGGCTAACTGACCGACTGCCACTTGATCCCATTGCTTCTTGTACAGTCAAGGATGCCTGACTTTTCTCGGATGTGCCCTCTATGGGAAAACTCTCCACAGGCTTTGCATGACTTTGCTCTCACGAGACTTCCGCGCCTCCGCTGCCGCTCTGCGATCGCTGCTGAAACCTCGCCGTGGCGACGCTTCGTGACGGCAAAGGCGGTCAGGCTTCGCACAGCGCCTTGCAGGAAAGGGCTGGCGCGAAACTTTCTGTAAGGATCCTAAGGACCTCATGAAGCCCCTCATAGCCACTAAACCGTGCCCAGCGAATCACGGCATGCTTTCGAAGGAGGCCACGCGCCATCACATGCCTCACTGTCTACAATGGCACACAGAAGACAGGCGAAGCTTGATATGTAGTGGCGCGACATGCCGCAAGCTGACCTTCTGAATTACCCCGGCAGTGGTTTTCCGCTCCGTTGATCCGCCTCGTTGGAGTCGCCTTCGAAGACTTTCGAAGAGCCCGTGCAGAACCACGCGCTCCTGCTCACATCGCAGTTTGATTGGCGCCTCTTAGACCGATGATTCTTCCTATACATGCCCGGTAATAAAGTTTCGTCGCAGCCGCTTAGAAACACT